ACTTCTCAAATTGAAATCTTTCCAATTGTTCATCTCCTCGGTAATACAAAATGGCTAGAAATTTTCTAGTTGAAATTTTTTCACTTGAAGAAATTCTATCCACTGAGAAAACCACAGTTGGAATAGCCAGTTGAACGCGTTTCTCACGGGAGTTTGTCCAAAATTTGCTAAAATACAGCAAACTTCCCATTAACCACCTGTCATTTCCTAAGCTCTATTTTTTATCTGGTTTTCATCAAGATCTCAGCCCTTTCTTCTTTGTAATAATATAGTAAGTGGCGTTTTCTCAACAAATTAAAGGGCTTATAATTTCTTTTGTGATATTCTGTGTTTCTTTCTATCTTTTCTCTTTGTGGTTTTGATTAATTTCTTTGGTTCCTATTCAATCCCTGTCTATTTCACCTTTTAATTAGTTGAAAACTGTTCTTTTATTAGGATATTTATATGATTGCTCAATGGGTTTTTTGAGCTTATATTATATTTGTTCTGTATGATCTTCTTTGTTATTGAGAATCTGATGGTTTGGATTTGGCGGCTAATAATGAGAATGAAAAGAAGATTAGTGCTGTGAAAATTTTTCATAGAACTTTCAGGAATAGTTCAATTGGAGAACGGAAGAAGATGATGAAGTGATTTTTATTTTTTTAGTTTTGATTTTTAATTATATATTTGTGACTCATTTGTAATTTTTTTTTTTTTAATTTGGGGTTATAGTTGCAATTAGTTTTTTGTTTTTCTCTCTTTCTTTTTGCTTTATTTAAATAGAAAAATATATTCGTCATTGTAGAGTTTTTAATTGAAAAAATTGATGAAAATGATGATTTCTACAGTGAAATATGAAAATATGAGTGAAAATGTCAAAAAATGAAAGGTATAGACATTTTGAACAATAATATTGAAAAGTAGAAACATTTTGTGCTAATTATCCTAATATTATCCAACAAAGTAGCACCAATATTGGGTAAAATGTTTCATTACTCACTCAACTTAAATATGGTCACAATTTACTTATCGAACTCTAAACTGCTTTTTAATGGTCATTCATCTCTATCCATCATTTGCCAAATTCCACTCCCCTCACTTCTAATGTGTCGCACGGAAATCTCCCGTGTCAAGTTACGATCTTTAAAAAAATTACAATTCAACCTAACTATCCAAGTAAAATGTTTCACTACTTAACATATACTTTGATCAAGATTTACTCATCAAACATCAAATTACTTCGCAAGGGTCATTCATCCGTTAGATTGCATTTCACTCGTTGTTGACTTGTTTAACAAAAATTCCATGTAGTAAGTTACGATCATTAAAAAATTTACAACCCGGTCAAACCATCTAACTCACCAAAATGGTCTTATGTAACATGCAAATTCCACGGCCCCATAGGGGGGTATTTAAGCCCCAAATTGTTGATCCACGATATCACACCAAAAAATCCTAACCCCCAATTCACTTATCTAACCTAGGTACAACTAAATTGTATACTGAAATAGGACTTTTCTTAAGAAGGAATTGAGAAGCTATTACATATAAAGTCTTACAGTTTTCCTCCTTGTACCGGGGGGTTGTACACCCCCC